GTTTTTATGTTTAAAAAGTATTTTAAAGTAGTCATCTAATAATACAAAAATGATTTGTCTGATTTTGTTACCTTTATCCTGTTCCATTTTTAATTTTAACCTGTTAAATGGCTAATAATCAATTTTAAAATAATTTATAATAATGTTTAGAGAAATAATTTTGATATTATAATCTAATACGTGCTTTTTCGTGCTCAAAAATCATTGTAATGAAAATTATTGTGGAGTTATTTATACAATTCAGCTATGAAAATTATTGTCAAAAACGAATAAAGTACTAATGGAAATCATTAATGTTGACAAAGAATAAATTCGAAGCTAGTTTTGACAACTTTCCTCATAGGAAAAATATAAATTATAAGTTAAAAATGATTTATTTTAACTTGAAAATCTACTGTAATTCTTTTTCTGTGAAAATATAGAAAGCAGGAAGATTAATATAAATAATTAGTTCCGATAACGATTTAGGATAAAGTTTTTCTTATTCTTGTATAGGAAAATAGAAGAAAAATGGAAATAACTGTAAAAATTATTAATTCTTTCTACATGGTGGTTTTTTGTAAAAAATATTACATCTGTAAGGAACATTAAAGAACAGCTTACAAGAAAGTTGACTTCACCATACTTTTGTTTTTTATAATGTAAAATAAACGTAAGGGATAAAAACTAACATATTTGTATGTTCATTTTAGTTGTAAACATCCATTATTATATTTAATTGACGAATTAATTTTCTTGAATAATAGTCTAATTTAATACAATATTTTTCTCACCAATTTCAATAATATTTTGTTACAACAATGAATAAATAGAAATAATTTACCTGGTATATATTTAGTAATAGGGGCAATACAGTAGTTCATTAACTCTTCTGGAATATGCAAAATATAATTAGAAATTTTATTAATAATGTAAACTATTATTTTTATATATGGTTTTTTCTGTATATCAGATTAAAAGTATAACTACAAACCGTGCAAAAGAAATATAAGCAACAAGAATACGAATCTGGAATGAAGAAGAATGGAACGAATTAAAGGAGTTATTAACTGAAAAATTTATATCAGGCGTACTGTACCTCTTGAAATATACTAATTAGTACAGCTGAAGCAGATAAAAATGTATAACGTAGGAAACGAAAACAGAATAACGAGAAGAAATATATATATTTGAAGTTAAAACCCGCAGAACGTTAAATTTTTTCCAAAAACAATTGTTCAACTGCCCGAGGTAATGCTTTCTTCAGGCGAATCATCTTTAAAACGCATCATTACTGGTGATGAAACATGGATCTATGCTTTTGACACCGAAACAGCTCAGCAGTCGAGTGAATGCCGCTTGAAAGTTAAAGCGACACCGAAAATTCCATGTCAAGTAATTTTCTACCAGTTCCGAAAGGGTTTCACGAAAACGACTTTAAAGAGTGTTTCGAAGATTAAAAAGAACGTTGGTATAAATGCATTGCAGTAGGAAGAATTACTTTGAAGGGAACGAAATAACTTTTGATGAATAAATTTAAATCTTGCGCTTTCTTCAACCATTTCCGATGCTTTTCGATCAGACGAAAGCACTGTCCATTGGCGGTGAGCTCGGGTCTGACGAACGGACTATCAGCGCGGAGTTTTCTGGGTGTTCTTCATGTGTCTATAACCTAAAGAGAGGCCAGAATCCCATAGAGCATCTTTCCGAGAGGCTGATCTATTTATGGGCCTGATCGGAATCACGACGGATTCTGTAGACCTAGCGTGGATCCGACCAGCTTAGTGCCTATAGAAGGCAAATACTCAGAAATTAGAAAACAAAATACCTAAAGATACAATTCAGAAATGTGTTTAATAAAATCCGCAACGTCTTCCTAAATGCAATTTTACAATGTGATGAGGAAGAATACCTTCTCCGTTTGTAGTACCAAATGTGGTTAACTTAAAACGATCTCTGAAATACAAATAAATATCCATTATTTAAAATAACACCAAAACTTATAATTAACAATTTTTTTTTATAAATTATTACTAATATATAATAATATAAAATGAANTTCTAACTGGAATATCTTGCGTATAAATATATTCTGTATTTTTTCGAAGTCGTTAAATTTATCCATACTCCAAACTGGGGCCGCATAGCCCATTGAATTCATTACAAGTGAATTAAAAAGTCGAAAGTGTGTTCCCAAGTTTTTTAGTTTTGTCTTATAGAAGAGACCAATTAAGTTATTTATTACAATTTTTGCTTTATTTATTGAATTTTTATAATGTTTCTCAAACGAAAGGTTTGGTGTAAATGTTATTCCTAAAAATTTTATTTCCTTAACTATCTTCACTTCTTCTTTATTAATAAAAAAGGACATGTGCTTTTTGGATACATTACTACCATTTCTGAATATCATTACTGTTGATTTTTTTGGATTTATTTTAACTCTTAATTTTTCTAAGTACAGTACTCACAAATTTGTTGGATCTTTCTACGGAGCGCAGCTGCCGTAGGAGTTACCAGCACAATGTCATCGGCATATGATATAGTATGTATCGTCTGATTTTCGATTTGAATACCATCTTCGTCTCTTTGAAAACAAGTATTTAGGTCATATAAATAAAAATTGAAAAGATATGGGAATAACGGATCTCCTTGTAATAGTCCTCTGTAGATTATAAACGGTGTCCAGATCTTTGTATCTTGTTTAATGATTGTCTTATATTTTCCAAACAGCAAACCTATCATTTTTATCAAAGGTTCATTTGCTCCACATCTCTTCATTTTACTTTGTAGGTCTGTAATGCTAATCATATCGTATGCTTTTTCAAGATCCAAAAAAAGGGCGAACACTTTATGTCTTTTCTTAAGCCACCGTATTTGAATTAGTGATAACAACACAGAGAGAGCTGTCTGAGTACCTCCTCCTTCCACAAAGGCAAATTGCGTATCATTTCTATAATTATTAACAGCTGTCCAATGATTAAATTTACTAGCTATTACTGCAGTGAATACTTTCCGTAGACAAGACAGTAGAGCTATTGGTCTGTAATTGGTTGGTTCCTGTTTGTTCCCTTGTTTAAATATCATGATAAAAATGACTTCATTCCATTTGTCCGGTATTATACTATAACTGTAGAATTGATTGAATTGTCTGGTTAGATAGCGAATGATTTCTAGTGGCAGCATTTTAATGAGTGAATTAGGTATTGTATCTGCTCCTGGTGTTAATTTATCTTTAAGTTTCTTAATACAATCCTGAAGTTCTTCCGTTTTAATTATCTCTTCTCGATGAATTTCTGGTCTTATTTTAGTTTCTATATATTTTTGACAAAAATTATTTCGGTAGTTCTGTGAGAATTTATTGTAGTTTTTCAGCCAATCATTATATCCTACTCTAGCCTGTATGTCATAACCTGACTTTTTTTTACGACAATTGTTAATTATCCTCCAGAAAACTCTCGAGTCTTTCGCTTCTGATAATTTTTTACTGATATTTGAAAAATATAATTTCTTTTTGGCTTTAATTAAATTATTATACATTTTCTTATATTTTAGGTAATTCATTAGTGCTTTGCTGGTATTTGTTCGTCTGAAGACTTGNCAAAGAACAGATGAATTTAACATTATATCCACTGAAAATAAAATAAAAGTAAATGCTATATGAAACAAACTCTAAAAATACAAGAAAACAGAAAACCTTTTGGAGCCTCGTAATTCGAATTTAATTCATTCCAGGAGGCCGTTCGAAGTCCGAATCAATTTTTCCCATTAGAAATAATGGAAAGCGAATTAATCCATTACCACATCGTAAATAATATCCAGTTTGATTAATTTAAAACAACAAATACACATAATTTAAGGCAAAACAATACAATTAAATACCCTAATAATAAATTAAAACACGAAGAAAAAATAAAATACAGAAATACCATATAATAGTATAAAATGAAAATTGCATTAACTGATCGCACACCGTCGACTTCATCTTAAACATGGCCGCCAGTTACCACGTGTAGACTAATAAGTAAAGTTTATGATCTATTTAACAGATAGTTTTTGCATAATTTTGAAAATTGCCGTTACTTATTATAGGTGTATAATTTAATTATAAATGTTGTGGAATATAAGACATTGTTACTAATATGAGATTGTATTCATTGTTTAGAAGCTTATTTTAAAATTTTTACTTGAACGCTCCAGCTTGAATATGATAGAGCAAACATTGAAAGTGATGTCGCAATGGCAATACATATACATTAGTGTTGCAACGAATAGTATATTCGGCCTCAGGCCGAATACCGAATATTCGGCCAGGTGCGTTGCCGAATAGCTGAATATTCGGCGAAACTATTCGGCTTGATTAACGCACGTACGAAAATTGGCTCGCAAATCGCATTATGGCAAGTACCCTGCTCTCTATTGACCCTCTGTCACTACGCTTCGCCAATCGCGTTAATTCTTGACAGTTGTAGCGGACAGACATGAGCGTCATGGCAGTATGTGATAAGTGATGATATCAAATGTGAATAACAATGAAATGACCTACACGCGTAAATAACGGAAAAAGAACAGAGAAGGACCGCGAAGTGAAAATGTGAAAATAAATATGAAATTGAGTTGATAACATAATCGAACGAGTCGAGGCAGCTTATTGGCGCGAAATTCGCGGCCGTCAATGCCAAACAATTGTTGTCATAGACTTCGGAAAGCTAAATGCTTGTAATGAAAGTCACTTAGCGTGCACGGGCGAAAGCCTGGGGCCGTTCGGGCTATCAAGCTGTCTCGAATCTGTGAAATCATAACTGTGACATATACCGACGTCCTATCTGTCTCTTTTCTCCGTTATCACCAGCCTATGAGTCACGTAATTATAAAATGGATAAACTACGACGGAAAAGTGACGAATCGAAAGTATCGTGAGCGCGTATTATGATGTATGCATAGGCAGGCATACGTGGACTAGAGAGATGGAGAAAAGAGAAAGAGAAGAGCAAAAACGAGCAGTTAAAAAGGATAGGCAGGGTCAGACCCTCAGATGTGTGCGACGATTCTCGAACGAATAAGGTGTGTACGTGTGCTGATCTTTGTAATTATAAATTGTGAATACATGTGACTAACATTATTTTCTTTTTTATTTTGTGCATGCTATAAGTTATAAATAAATATAAACAAACAACACTAACTCGATAACATTAAATCTAAATACCAAAATGATTAATTTACTGTGTTTTTGTTAATTCTTACTCCCATTTTTAGGTATTCGGTATTCAACCGAATAGCGAAAAATAGGCCGAATAGGCCGAATACCGAATAGTAACCGAATATTCGTTACATCACTAATTATTATAAATTATTTTAAAATTGATTATAAGTCATTTAACAGGTTAATATTAAAAATGAAACAGGATAAAGGTAACAAAATCAGACAAATCATTTTTGTATTATTAGATGACTACTTTAAAATACTTATTAAACATAAAAACGGTCATAAAATCAACTTAAGTGATATGTTATTTTGCCAGAAAACTAAAAAATGTAATTAATAAAAGATAAATATTATTTATATACAGTATATACTATAATAAACTATATATAAAGTTAACAAGTATAAACAGTATAATGATATTTAGTTATATTAAAGATAATAAGAAAAGTCTCTCTTTATGGCCAATTATTTTAAAAACTAATAAGACAATTGCTGTACATCTTTCACCTTATACTATTTCAGGCATACACTAAACTACAGTATACTGCAAAATTCCGCTCTTTGTAGTTCCTCTACCGGACACGGCTGTTGTTAGTTCGGTCTCTAATTAAAATAGCGCAATATTGCCAATTAAAAAGCTGTAAAACATAAAAAATATATACTATTATCTTTTAGCACATTCCAAAATATCAAGTGGGAACAGCATATCAAATATCACACGCAAATGCTACACTACAACACGAACAGCTACACCCTTGTGTTGTACAGTACAGTGTAACATTTACCTGTCATATCACTGCATCACCGCACATCAAACAGTACGAGATTGGTTGAGTGTCAATTCAATATCATGCAGCAGTGAGCAGATTGGAATAGACTACTGAACGGCCGCTAAGCTTCTCAGAGATTATCTTATGAATTTTTTATATGGGGTTTTCTGGTGTGAAAGGTGTTATGAGGAGCGAATGATCAAGCGGCTGAAGTAAGTAGTTGTGGTCTCTCCAATGCGGTAAGCTCTGGAGATCTTAACTACTAACTCAACTGGAAACGGATGCGGACGGATCTAAAAAGTCGACGAAATTTTCATTAGTGTTTGTCTCGGATATTTGGGACTCATTAATCAGCTCTTTATCGTGGGTCTGCAAAAATGACCTCTAATTGCCCGCAACACAGAAAGAATAAACGAAGTCAAAGGTTTATAGAACACAACCATTAAATGTGAGTGATGTGCAATAACTCATTTTGGTTCATGCCCTGCTATAATCGACATATTGACAGCCGTGCAAAAAGTTGTTGGAAAAAGCAAAAGTTGTTGTGGAAAACATTTATTTGGAGTATGCGATAAACATCTTGTGGAAACATGTGCAGCATTTTTTTTTGTGTGTGTTTTATTGAATATTTCTCGGCATTTGATATTCGCTATTAAATCAGATCATTTCGATATCCATATCTCTGCTAACCTAAGCCTAACTGCACATTTAACCGCTGTCACATTGCATTCGTGTTCTACAGTGATACACAACTAGCTCTTGCGTGTTGTTCGGTATATATTTACCTGTCACACTTAACAGCCTGTTCCGGGATCCCACTTAATACAGTATTCAGGAATGCGCTAAAAAGTAATAGTTGATATCTTTCATGTGCTACAACTTTGTAATTGATAATGTTGCCTTATTTTCATTAGGGGTTGAGATTCCAACGAGTCTCTTCGATAACAGAAAGAGCGAAAATTCTCATAATCGTCTTGCACTCTAGCACATGCCTGGAGTAATAAGCATCGGCAAAAGGTATACACTAACTGCTATTGTCCTATAATTTTTTGAAATGATAGGCCGGAGACTTTCGTTGCCACCCTTATAGGCCTATATATTTTTTAAAAAATTTACATAAAGATATAATAATACACATACATCTGCTTAACGTCAGAAATTCCTTCCTAAAAATTAGACGTTGTGCGAGAAAACAAACTGGGAGCCTGTTGTTTCTCAGCCACTATTCATATGTTACTAAGTTGGTAATTGTTTAATGGAGTAAAATGGTAAAATTTGATCAAAGCTTTGAAAACTGAAATACGAAATATGAAACAAACTTTGTTTAAACTTCTGAATCCTTATTTTATTGTCTATTTACTTTTGTGGTGTCTGCATACAATGAAATTACATATGTATATGTTTTGCGACTGCGACATCATTTTCAATGTTTGTACTATTATTTTCACGCTGAAGCGTTTAAGTAAAAAGTTTAAAATAAGCTTCTAAATAATGAATGCAATCTCACATTAGTAACAACGTCTTATATTCCACAACATTTATAATTAAATTATACACCTATAATAAGTAACGGCAATTTTCAAAATTATGCAAAAACTATCGGTTAAATAGATCATAAACTTTAAAATTAGTCTACACGTGGTAATCTGGCGGCCATATTTAAGATGGTGTCAACGGTGTGCGATCAGTTAATGCAATTTTCATTTTATATTATATGAAATTTGTGTATTTTCTTTTTTGCTTAGTGTTTTATTATTAGGGTATTTAATTGTATTGTTTTTACCTTAAATTATGTGTATTTGCTGTTTTAAATTAATCAAAATGGGTATTGTTTAGGATGTGGGAATGGATTAATTCGTTTTCCATTATTTCTAATAGGAAAAATTAATTCGGATTTCGAACGGCCTCCTGGAATGAATTAAATTCGAAGTACGAGACACCATAAGGTTTCCTGTTTTCTTGTATTTTTAGAGTTTGTTTCATATAGCATTTATTTTTATTTTATTTTCGGTGGATTTTACTGTTAAATTCATCTGTTCTTTGTTTCTTTTAAGCATTACTGAATGAAGAAATTGATTAAGAATAAAATATTTAAATGCAGATTTGTAAATATTTCTTATAATTTTAAAGTAAAAATGCACGTTACATAAGTAAGTGTTTTGCCAAAGTTATCTGAAGTTCAAACAAACAAAATTTTTAGTAATTTAAAAATTTTTAACAGAATTTAAGAACCAAAATAGTTGTAGGGATAGTTTTTAATTTAATTTAATGTTTAATTCCTTACTGCTACGTTTTACTGCAGGTTTTCTCAAATTTAACATTAAGTTCATCGAACTTTTCGTGAAGGTCGCAGAGGCCATATCTAAATCACAGTGACTTATATCATTATAACTCTGTCGGCTGAGCCAAATTTACTAGGTTTATAAATAAAGGTAACCTTTTGCATTTTGGCCGTAATATAACTATGTGAAGTCTTTCGAATATTCTTCGAATCTCTAAAATCTAAAGACCAGAATTTCATAAAAAGATCCTCTCGAGAAGTCGTCCGACTGTAGGCCTAGTTGGGTCTACTCTAGGCCTAGAGGCCCATCGATCAGCTTAGTGCCTAGACTCAGAAATGGAAGAGAAAATATATAAAGATAATATTAAGAAAAGTGTTTAATAAGGTCCGCAACGTCTTCCTAAATACAATTTTACAATGTGATGAGGAAGAATACCTTCTCCGTTTGTAGTACCAAATGTGGTTAACTTTAAACGATCTCTGAAATACAAATAAATGCCCATTATTTAAAATAACAGCAATACTAATAATTAACAGTTTTTTTTTTATAAATTATTACTTAGATATAATAATATAAAATAAAACTCACGTTTGTAGATTATTCATGGGTACTATTTTCACGCACTGAATATACAATTTATTATCCTTACGAGGTAGCACACTATACCAAAATACTTTAAGATTTGTTATTGGCTCCAGATCGTGAGTAGTTGTTATTAAATAGGTATAAGTCGCTCCGGGTTTAAATATACTTTTCACATATTGAATATATAAGCTGTGAATTATGTTTTACAGTAAACTTGAATTTTATAAAATGGCTAAACGAAGCTATTATGAATAATTAAAGCAATTTACTTACTCTTTATCCAAGATTTTAATTATTTTGGAATTAATAATCAACACTAATTTTCCTACTTCAATAGTGGTGTCTGCAGTAAAGCCGAAAGTCACTTCCACGTGGTACTGATATACTGAAAATCAATTACAGGTTAGAACGATTAATTAAACATGTTATTAAATATTAATTTTGACTCACAGAAATATCCGTCGGTAAATGTTGTCGCCGCATACATCGTTACAGTGCCGTTTATTATTTTATCCGCGTATTTTTCGGCGTGAATCCCAATTGCCGCACAATTCCTTCCATCTATTCCGCATTCGCTACATTTTCCTTTCTTAAAAGTTTCATAATCCTTGCATTTATAAGCCACGGGAAGAAACTCGGGATGATAAAGAGTGGATGCAAACAGGTAGAATCCTCGCATATGAGAACAAAAAAATAACCGGAGAATTGCCGAATATAATCCAACGAATATACCTTTTATAAAACTTGTATCTGCCATAAAGTACAGAATTTTTAAACATAAATAGTTGTAAAAATTAAAATATTAGCTAATTATATAAATAAATAAATAAAATAATAAAACTGTACTCAAATCAAAGTTGGCAATGTTGTCTGTACATCCTCTTCCTATTAGACCTGCATCAATCATGAAATGCAAATGTCCAGTCGGTTTTCCGGTAACATATTGATCTGTATATTTATATTGCCATATGTAAACGTTAATAAAAATATAAAAGTTCTGATATCTGCATAATACCACTAACTTGCACTTGTTGTGGAAATGACATCTACGAACTTTGCATCGGAATAATGAAGTTTGTATCTCGGAGAAAAACTTGAAAAACAAGCGCCAATAACATCTAAACCTGTAGACAGTTTATATAATATAAACAATTGAAATATAACTGTTTTGTGTTATTAAATTATTACCTGTAATTCTTCCAATTTTTCCCGTTTTTATGTACTTTCCAATAAAACCTACTAATTGACCACTGAGACTGAATCCAATGATGTGGAATTTGTTAAAATCGAGATTTATAGATTTCTTTTATGTGGAAATAAATGTAAATTTAAAAAATTAAATATATGTATATAAATTTTATTATTGTAATAATAATATGCTCACTTTCCATCTTTCTAGTTGTTCGGCGATGAATTTCCCTTCCACAAGAGTTATTCTTATAGCTTTTGGAAAAGTAAGGGATAAGGCTCCTATTTTCCAATCCACTATAATAACATTGCAATCTTCGTAATGTAGAAAAGCTGTTTTCAAGAACTAAATAATATTTAGACTGATATATTATGTTTATATTAAAAGTATCATAGAAACAAAATATAACTTAGTTTGTAGATGATTTATATATGTAAATGTACTTACATTAACGTCTTCGCTTTTAGGATTTTCTAGAAATCCATGTACAATCATAATTGTTTTTAATTCTGGATTAAAATGTGAAGTATAAAAACTGTTTTCGTCTGTCAAATAATTAGGGTATGAAGGATTTTTTCTTGTGTATAAGAGGAAATAAGTTGGAGGAACTGGAGTAATTTTGGCCTTGGCAAAAACAATGTGCTCGAAAAATGGAGGACAGGGTATATCCGCGATTGATTCTGTAAGTGTCAGATAAAATTTAATTCGAAAGTTTAAAAATTGCATTATGATCTTAAAATTACAGTTAAATTTTATAAGAAGAATATTCTTATGAAAACAATAATTCAAAAATATTTAGGATCTAGTCACGGCTTTTTTCCTTGTCATAAATTAAATCAGAGGTTCTGAAGAGTCATTGTCTATACGTAGTGGCGGTTACAGGGGGTTAAAATTTCTGCTATCATATTTTATTGTAAAAACATTTTATATTTATGACTATTATCAAATGACAAAAAGCTTAATTTTAAGGATAGAGATGAGTTTTTAAAACATTGTAAATGTTAATAACGAGTAAATTTTCATTAAGTTCGACCCTACCCGAGATAGGGCACATGAACTTCTTTATCTCCTCATCCTCTTGAGTTCTGTAGTGCAAAATGTAATAGCATTAATACACAAGAACCAGGCCAAATTTTGTATTTTAATCTATAACTTTTCCTGAGATATTAAACCGAATAGACCCCAACACACACACACACACACATACATACACATATTTCGAAAATCAGTAAATTTGACTATCCGAGTTTCATGCAAATCTCCATGTTTTGAGACTTTCTCAACTGAAAAATGTCAGAAAATAGAAAAAATTCCGTAGATATTTACGTATGCCTTTGCGTGTGTATATGTTGGAGTCTATTTCGTTTAATATTTAAGATTAAGAGACGAAATTTGGCATGTTAGTGTATAAGGGGCATTGATGCTATTTAATTTTGGTGGCTAAAGATCGAGGGGGGTAAAGAGATAAAGGGGTCATGCACTCTACCTCGAGAGGAGTCGGACTTAATGAAGATTTTACTCGTTATTAACATTTACAAATTTTTTGTAAAACATCCCTAGACTCAAAATTTTTTCAGTAGTGATGAGTTATAAAAATTACCATTTTATAGTAATTAATAATGTAAAAGTTATTTTTTAACAATATCTAATAACATGGTGCCGCCGACTATTTGAAGTTTGTGTTAATAATAAAAAAATCTGCAAACTCGTTGTTGGATTTCATTCANCACCATACCTTTTAACTTACTGTACGAGTTTGTTCTTTCTTCTAATAAACGTATATTTTTACACATATCTTTCAGCTCTTCCTTGAGCTTTAAATTTTCTTCGTTCATTTTGTTGATTTCAGCTTTCATGGAACGGATTTCGAAGTTCAAACTATCAAATTTGTCTTGGATTAATTCGTAGACCGATTTAAGTGAGTATTCAGGTTCAATAGTCTTTGTTGGTAAATCTTCTTCCGGTTCAAAAAAGTCTTTTATTGTAGCATACCTCGATATATCAGTAATATTCTTGGAATGTTCCTCAATTAAGTATTTCTCTCCTGACATTTCTCTTGTCTGAGTATTTTCTTCTATATCTCTTGTATGTTCTCTACGTGGTCTCCCTCGTCCCCTTTTTTGCATAACTGCTTGACTTGGTATTGGAGGAGATCAAGGAAAAGGTCCGGAATTTAGCTCAATGCCAGCAATCATTAGTAAAATAAAAATTATTATTCGAGTTAATGAAACATTTAAACTACTTATTTCAGTTCTACACTTAATATTCCGTTGTAAAAGTTCTATGTCTAACGTCGCCACAACAGCTCAGCAAAAAAAGTCACCAACACCTCCGAGGCTAGACACGCCCCCCCCCAAGATTTATTATTAGAAATTTATTAAAACGAAACTAGACAAAAAATCTTCTATTGTTAAAAATCGATCAAAGATCGAATTAGTTGTTCTAGTCATACGAAACCGCGACGAGAGAAAAAACTTTATTGATGTAAACAGAACGCAATAATTATAAATGATTAATAATTGTAAACGAACGACCTCCAGTAGAGATGGACCTTTGACAAGTCGCTCATATGCAAATAATTATAACATAGAAATTTTGAAAAGAGGAAAGATTAATGACGAAAAGGGACATCGCGTCGTGTCGTTAAATTTCAAAAACGTCACAGACTAGACAACAATGGCGAAAAATATGAGCGCAAGTTCAAAGTTCCATCAGCATTTTGCATCCAGAGTAACGGATGGTGTCAATTTGATTCTTCGAAGCGGATCTTTCTGGTGACTCGAACAGGAATCGTCTTTCGCTTAGAGACAGACGCGAGACCAATCGGGGAGCGAGAAAAAAGGGACGTGGAGCCAATCAGAAGAAAACAAAACCAAGAACGGAAATTGATATAATCCTCGATCTTGAAGGACAGATTGACTTTCCGAAAAACTGTGCACCTGCACACGGTTAGTCCACGCGAAAAAGCAGTTTTCCGTCGGTTGCGCCCAACTGGTAACCTGTGACTACGGACTCAGAACACCGCCGACACCGACTGACGAATCTCCACACCTGCCGTTGCCCCGGAGCCTTCCTTCGAGCCACAGTAGAAACACCTTCGACACTTCGAAACCTTCAATTGTGTAAAGAACATTTTTGTTCCTTAGTGTAAGTTTAATTTTATGTTTAAAATAAACGGCTTTTTGTGAGATTCTTGTCATCTGTGTCTCCTCCGCCACACCCACATGCGAACGACCCTAGATCATCCTGACGCGGGATTAACGATTCCCCTGGAAGTCGGCGAACTTACAATTTGAACTTGCTAGATGTACTGCTAGAACTTTGAGATGGAGAACATATGCTACTGCTAGAACTATAATGTACTGCTAGAAATTTGAGATGGAGAACATATTTTAAATTAAATAAATTAACGCAGTAGTGAGCGAATAATGTCGATCGTCGATCAATCATCGATCGACTAAAAATTGCGTGTCAGTAAGGAAGAGCGAAGTGACTATCGAAATTTTACTTCGAAGTGTAAATAAAAATCTACATAAAAACAAAATTTACCTTAAATATGTCCTTATCTTGTATAAATGAATTACTCTAAAAGATTTCACGTTGTATTTACTCATCTAAACATTACAAGATTACTCGTCTAGAAAGTATTTTCGTTATATAAATATATTTTAAAANTATCTAATAACATGGTGCCGCCGACTATTTGAAGTTTGTGTTAATAATAAAAAACTCTGCAAACTCGTTGCTGGATTTCATTTATTTTTATAATGTTTATAACGTCCTTAATTAAAACCAAGCATTCATGTCGCCGCTGCATTACGAGGAGCAAACATAGATGAGAAAAATCGTCCCACAAACATAGTCAAAGAGACAGAACATAAAGTTCGTTATTTTTTCCGATAAATTATACCTTACACTAATATACCTACATAAATTATACTTGTATAATTTTAAGACAATTTTGAAATAAAGGGGAAATTTGCGAGAATAATCGGCAAAGAAATTTAATTGGGAAAAGATCCAAATCCCAGCCGTATCTTGCCATTAAGGAAACTTCATATCATAATTGAGAAGCAGACACAATGAGAATACCACTCACTCTCCTTAATTTTCTCTTCAAATTTTGACGACATCAAATCAAATCCACGCCACGTTCACTCTCGACTGCAATCCAGCTATAATATGAACAAGAGCTCTAAAGGGTTCAAAGTTACTTGTGCCTATTCGATATATTGCTATCTGAAAAAATTATTACATAAATCATTCTGATCCGCAATTGGTCCCTGGTCCACAAACGGTGCCTTTACCTTACTAACTGATATATTATATATATTAGTAATGGGAAATACTTTTAGAATGTAAAATTTCCCATTACTACTACCTCTTCCCCTATATTTTCCAGTTGACTAGAAAAGTTTCTATTTTAGCGAAAAACACCAATACTGACAACACTTCAACACTTTCGCTCGGTGTTTGACTTGCTTCTGTTGTTCTGCTTTTGTTCGTTTTCAGATATGTAGTATATGTAAAGNATATTTTATTTGTAATTAGTTTGGTTTGTTGTTATACGACAACACAACACAAAGGCCATTTGCCAGGCCACACTGACCACGAATTATCCACATTTTGTGGATAATTGGTCACTATTTAAACGTTTTACACGTAAATAAAACCTGAATTGATAAAGAAACCGGAATAAGATGAAAAGATATTATATAATAATGCTAAAAGCATTCTTTTTCATGTTAATTACAACAATACAATAGAATCTAGTGATAAAGTCAATGTTTCTTTATTATAGTAATGCTTTATTTAAAAATATATAGCTTTAAAAAAAATACAAATTAAAATTTTTTAAAGCTATAATTAGCCTTCTNATCTGCGACTTGTTTCTGTAAGATGTTTATAAATTTACTTTATATTTTATTTGTAATTAGTTTGGTTTTATGGGATACGATAACACAACACAAGGGCCACACTGACCACGAATTATCCACATTTTGTGAATAATTGGTCACTATTTAAATGTTTTACACGTAAATAAAACCTGAATTGATAAAGAAACCGGAAAAGATATTATATAATAATGCTAAAAGCATTCTTTTTCATGTTAATTACAACTATACAATAGAATCTAGTGATAAAATCAATGCTTTCTTACTATAGTAATGCTTTATTTAAAAATATATAGCTTTAAAAAAATACAAATTAAAGTTTTTTAAAGATATAATTAGCCTTTTCACATATGTTTTTTTTTTTAAATTTCATTTACTGTATCGTGAATTAGTTTCCTTAATGCTTCTTTTATATTTTTCCTGGAGTAATTAAAATTTAAAACTGTGTACTAAAATAGTGATTTTGACATAATTGCAGTAGACTTATATCTAATTTCTTTTTACTCTTTGTGTTTATCGTTATAATATGTTTTAAAAGTAAGTTTATAGCAAGAATAAAAGACAATATTTTCTAAAATTACATTTAATTTTAACACTTTTAAAAGAGGAGAACTGTATGATTTTTTAGCTCAAGAACGATAAGAGATTTTATGTATTTAATCTAAACATAAAATACATATAATACTATAAATAAAATTTCACATTATTAATTAAATTTTTT